AAGAAGTTTAAGAAATTAATTCAGCAGAATTAGATGTAAGATGTAGTAGGGCAAATGTAAGATAAGAGAGCAAGGGGCCAAGATTGTAGAGACCTTATACTATGGACTTTGGATTTCATCTTTCTTTTTTTTAATGGAAGACAGTAATCTGATTTAATAGTTTCGTGCAGAAATCTACGGGTATTAGCTTTATCCAAATTTGATGTGAATTAACAATTATATTGACAGAAATAGAAAAATTAGTATACATCAATGGAAATGTGTGTATATATATAGAGTGAGATATAATTCATATGCTATGAAGTTTACGCTTTTGTAATGTACAATTCAATGTTTTTAATGTATTTACAAAATTGTGTGCTATCACCACTAATTCCAGAATGTTTTCATTACTCCAAAAAGAAATTCTGTACCCATTTACCCATTATCACTCTCTGTAGGCTCCTTTTCTTCAGCCCCTGGCAACACAACCAATAATCAGAAAGATTATTAAAGATTATTAATAAACAAAGTCTCTATAGATTTGCATATTCTGGACTTTGACATAAATGAGATTATATAGTATGTGACATCTTGTCTCTGGCTTATTGGAAGGGTTTGTAATTGACAATGATATTTTGTGTTTTAGAAAGTTCTATTTCACAGAAGTGTGGTGGATAGAATAGAGGGGACAAAACTAAGCAAGGGCAGGAAGAATAATAGACACTGCTGTTGTAGTTGTTTAAGGCATAAGGACTGATCTGAGGCAAAAGTCTGTGATGCCTGTGTGACACTGCACAGAATGGAGAATTCTCTAGGCCTCTGTCACAGGTGAATGTGTTGGGTGAGAAAAAGTCAGAAGTCTCAATTGTCTCATATTTCTGATTTGAGTAACTTGGTAGATGGACACATAGAGAATGCTACCTACTTTTTTGGGTGAACTGATGATATAAGTCAAAATTTGAACTGACTCATCCTGAGAGTTCTAAACCTAAATGGGCTCAAGAAGTTTTCTTGGATAACAGATTTATCAGAATGTATTAAAGAGAACTGGAATGGTTACTACACCTTTGACCTTTACAACAACACCTACCAAAGTATATTCTCTAGAACACTTGCTATATGATTGGCTGTCTAGAAAGGGTTTTTTAAAAGTGAAATAAATTTGGAAAATGTATTATATATCACTTTCCATGAGACCGTATATATACTCTGACTTCAAAGGAATCTTTAAAAATATTTTTAACCCAGGTATTCTAAAACTTACTGAATACAGAAGAATTTTTTCCCCACATGTTCCTAAGAGCACACTTTGGGAGACTGCTTAGAGACAGGGTGTTATGTGTAAGAACAGCTGTCATATGCAAAGATAGGCTCTTCCTTGGTTCTTGTGAAAGGCAGAATCCCAGGCAGTGCTCCATTGACCAGACCTATGTTAAAGAAATTGTCTACCATTAAACTTCAGTGTTTTGTATTGGGGGATTCCTAAACAGTTTGCCATCTCTTGGAGCAAGAGCGACAGCAACACAACCAGTTAAAACACACATGGCAGAAGGCCAATGACCAATTTTTGGAATCTCAACGTTTGCTAATGAGGGACATGCAGCGAATGGAGATTGTACTAACTTCAGAACAACTCCGACAAGTTGAAGAACTGAAGAAGAAAGATCAGGTGAATAGCAGTTTTGTGAGACCTGCTTGCTTTGTTAATGATACAGTCCATATGACTATTACTTTATATAGAGATTAACTTAAACTGATACAAGTTATATACACCCTTTCAAAAAGCATAACTGCTTTTGGAGAATTTTATTTTCTAGTTTTACAAATGACCTTGTCCGGGAAAAGAACTGATCTAGAAATGATCATCTTTAAGACTGCTGAATGCAACGGAGAACATTTTAAAAAATCTTATAATTCTGTCCAATTTTCCTGGGACTCCTGAATTGTGTTAATCCATACCAGGTCTTTTATAAAGGTGCTCTAAAAGCCTTATTAGAAGGTGACAGGGTGGAATGGAGGAACTGAGTGATATGAAAAGGCAGGTATCTAGAGTACTGCATACCCAAGATACTATTTTCTCCTTATCTTCAAAAAAATTACTGAAATTGGGGCCTCCCTGGTGGCACAAGGGGCTAAGTGTCAGCACTCTGAAGCAGTCTGCATCTCCTGCAGCATGAGTTTGATCCCCCGCCAGGAAGGTGACCCACATGATACAGCAGACCTCTCCCAACTTGCCCAGCAGTGTATCTCAGTAGATCTGCCTGTTCTGCTACCCACTCTGTCTCTGGTGATTCCTCTCAACCCCTACATCTCTGGCTTACACCTTGGTTCTTGTATGCATAAATGAATAAATCTTTTTTAAAAATCACTTAAATTACATGCGTAACACACAAATACCATCCTCATGTTAAAATATTTTAAGTACAGAGTGAAGTAATAAAACAATAAATTGAAAATCTCCCAAGACCTCCCTTCCCAGAAGTAATTACTTTGCACTAAAATGTACTCAGTCTGGAAGGCAGTCTTCTAGACCATTTCTGTGTTTATAAGTGTGTATTTAGGTCTTTAAAAATTGTACAACTAGTATGGTATTAATGTTCTGTAACTTAGGGTTCCCATAAGCATTATCTTGGACATATTTTCACACCAGAGATCTCATTTTGTTAACTGGTAGCATATGTGTACTGTAATTGGTTTTATCCATCCCCTGTAGTGCGTGTCTAGATGGTTCTCCTCCTTACCCCCACTTTTTTTTTTTAATCATTTCAAACAAAGTTGCAGCTAATATCCTGTACTATCTTATTCACTAGAATATGTCACTAGGATAACTATGTAAAAGCTTTTCTACATATTATAAGAAATATTTAAAATTACCTTATATGACTTAGGTTAGATTTTGTTTTTCTGAAGTTTCTTCTTTTTAAATTTCTATTTTGTCTCTAATTCTGACTCATTCATCTATGTGCGGACACAACCAGCTTAAGGATTTAGATTTTTAAAGTATAGAACTAATCATGCTCTTCCTGCTGCCTATTAAAACAATCTACACTCCTATACTGGTCATTTAAAGCCTTTATTAACATTTCCTGAGTTTTTACTATAAGCCAGCATTGTGCTAAAACTTTATATATATTAAACTTTATCTCTTGTAGCTCTCAGTATTAACAAATAAATGAGCACACAAAACAACAAAATGCTGCAAATGAAATAGGTACTATGGACAGATCTGAGGTTTGACTCAATTTCTGATTCCAGAGTGTAAGCACTGAGTCACCACCCTCTTCTCCTTTATCTTATTCCATGTATCTCATGTTCCTGCCTCTTTTTAGTGACATCCAATTATTCAATAATCTTCCATTTGCCTGCTCTTCTGCCTGCTCTTCTGTAGCTATACCTTTGTACATGCTTCCTTTCTTCCTGGCACCATTTCTTGTCTCCTCTCACACATTTATTAAACTCATTTTACTAATCCTGCAATATCCAACTAAATTGTTAACCTTTGAGCTTCCATTCTAGTTCCATCAGATGAAAGCAGTCATTGATTTTTCTCCTATAGAACCTGTACGTACTTGTGTAGTGTTGTAACTAAATGTACCTTTGTCCCTCCCTCTAGCCTGTTTGGGGGCACTGAAGGTATCAGTTCATTTTTGTTGAATTATTGGATTAACTCCAATCATTCCTTTATTTCATATAAACTTGGACATGTTTCTAATAGATACTAAGTGTCATAGCTTTGTCTTGTTTTCTATGATAATTTGAAAGAATGTTCTGTGTAAATTTTCATTTCAAGAAGGGGGGTGATTTACTTCTTTTGCTTTGCCTTTCACATAGTGTACTTTTCTTGAAAGCTGTTCTCTGATTTCTTCTTTATGCCAGGGTTCATGTTTTGTGCCTGTAGTATTTAAGCAACATGTTATGGTCATAGATGTCCTTAGATGTTATTATAAAACAAAGTGTCCAGTTTTCTCTCATCATAAAACTCTGTTCATTTTTTTTTTTGTTTTGAGCAGTTAAATAATTGTAGATAATGAAATACTATACATAATGAATCATTACATATAGATTACCTGGGTGATTTTATTTTTATATTTATTTTTTTCTTTTTACCTTTTAGGAGGAAGATGAACAGCAAAGACTTAGTAAGAGAAAGGATCACAAAAAACTGGATGTTGAGGAAGAAGTGAAAATACCAGTAGTCTGTGCTTTAACTCATGAAGAATCTTTAGCCCAGTTGTCAAATGAAGAGGTATAGTGAATTTATCATTAAAATTATTGTATGCATGATGTTATTTTAATTAATATAATATCTTCAATTATTTTTATGGTATTATCGGTAGTACATTTTGAAACATGTTGCAATTTCTCTCACTGTCTCTGAAATAGCTGTTCTTTTCCCAGTGGTTCCAAAATTAAAACATCAGAAAATTTAATAACTACAAGAGGTTTTTTGAAATGAATGATAAGTGTTGCCAATGCTTGAGCTTCTCATTTAAAAAACTATCTGAAATATTAAAACATTTAACTTCCTATAGCATATATTTAATTATTTATTAACCAGTAAAAGATCTTAAGGCCTAAGAACAGTGGGTGAGGTTTGAGAGATTCTGATGGGTAGGAAGGAGCATTTCAAGTATTGGGTATACAAAGATTGGAAAGACCTGAAGCAGAAAGTGTAAGGTGGTGTTCCTATGACCTCATCACTTCTCACCCACAATGGCTTCTTTATTACCTTTTCTGTTTTCATCCTGTCTCATTGTAACCTCAAACATATTGTCACATTAAATTTTCTTAAATGCAGCCACAGTCAGACCACACCTATTTCAAAAACCACCACTGACTTTGTTCTACATCATGAAGTATATAAATTGCCACTCAGTCAGTCAGTGCCCTTCATAGTATGTGCTCTGTTTTTAGCCACAGTGCTTCACTTGCCACCTAGCTCATTGGTTCCTTCCCCTGGAACACCCCTCCCTTTACCTTTCTGAGTATGGAAATCCTTCTATTCATTCTTCAAGACTCAATGATGATACCTCTTTTTCAATAAGGGAAATGCTTCTCTTACTGCCTTTAGGTGAAAACTTAAGTTCCCTCATTTGGCACACAAGGGCCTACAGTTGAATGACTCATTAGCCTTATCAGACAGTCGGCTGTATCATAGCCAGATCTTTCTGCTTATTGTCCATGTGCATATTCCTATTTATACTGCCCCTGCTGTTTAGAATTTCATACTTTCCTGGCTTGTGAACCAATTTCAGTTAAGTTAGATAAGGGTCTTTTCTCAAATTCAGTGGTATCATGTTTTTGTTTAGATTGAAGATTTACTTAGACCTGTATAGAATCTACTTCCTGTTTATGGATTGTTTAACATTTAAAAAATGCTTTAAAAATTTCCAGTGAACATAGAAAGTATGATGTAATTGTTTTTCTACATTCTTTGTTTTGGGTCATACACTGAAGGTCACTTCACCTGATTATGCTGTGCATTTTTAAATAGTTAGACTTGCAGGAGAATGTCTTAATTTTGGGGTGCTGCCAGACATTAGTTTTTGCATCATGCAGTTCTATGTCCAGAATGTTTGAAAAAGTTTCAAACTTCAAAAAATATTTTAGCAGGAAATTAGGAGAGGGAGATTTGTTGTGATTCAGAATGAAGCATTTTTCTTATTTTTGGTTCTGTCTGAACAGACATGTGATAAAGTGTACATAACTTTTCCTAATATTTGAAATATCTTTTAGATGATCAGATCTGGTATTTTGTAATTTGAGTGTTGAATGTACATGTTTTGTGTTGAAAGTTATTACAGTTTATTGTAGCTTGTTGGCTTAAAGTTAATATGAAATGCTCTTGACACTTAGATTTCTTGCTAAAAACATTTAAAATTTATAGAACCTTGTATCTTCTTTAATTGGCAGAATATACTTTTCTAATTACTTAAGTAATATGTATTCATTATGACAAAGGAAAGTACAGAAAGGTTATACAAAGTAAAATTACTGATAGGTAATTCTGATGTCCAGAGATCACCACCACTTAGCATTTTGGTATGTGCCTGTCCTTTCCCTCTTTCTCTTTTTGTTTCCAAAGATAACATTTTTTTTTTTAATTTTTACTTTTCAAACATAATTCATATTGTAACTGTTTAATGAATATCATTTCCCACCTAAGTTTAAAAGTTTTGGCAAAAATGCTTTCCCTAAACATGATATTTAATAGCTTAATTCTCTACAAATTGATTTGTGCCCAGGTTTTAATTTGTAAGAGTTGTTAAGGGATAATATGTATAGGTGAGTGCCATTGAACAAGAAGTGTAATGTTAATCACAGTTCACCTAAAATGAGAGGCATGTAGAGCCACATGAAAAAGCACCAGTTAGTCATGAGGCAAAAGCAGGAGCAAGAGGAAAGCATCAACCCAGCCAATAGGAGTTTTTGCGGGAAAGGCAGGACAGGGCAGGGTAAATAGTATAGGAAAGACTATTTTGAATAATCCCATTGTGCCTTAGGGCATAAAGTCTGTCTTTAGTTTTTTAGTACCTGGTCCTGGGTTGACACAGGGCAGGGGAAATACTGGCTTGGTGTTTAAGAGTTACATGAAGGAGTTGGATGGATGAGGTGTGTGGAATTGGTATTGGTTGATTTCTTTAGAAAGGTATCTTCATAGACAAGTTGTTATTATGTCTAGGAGTTAGCTACCATGGGAGGGGCAGTCTCTCCCCAGTCAGCAAGGCTCCCCAACAGTCAAAAACATCATAAAATATAACGATTTAAAAACATAATTAACATGCTAGTCAAGTGGCTTTTCATTTTTTATTAGTATAATTTTTTATTATAAGTTATGCATAATGCTTTTATGTATAATTCTTCCCTATACTGAAATCATTATGGAATTACCTGATTATGTACTTAGTATAAATTTTTATGAAAAGGACTGTTGAGTTTAAGGCCATACACATTTTTATGGGATTAGAACATACTGTTTAATTACAGAAACACATTAACAGTTTATGTTCCCTTTTTGCTAGAAGTATATGTCCCTTATACTGTTATTAGTATGTTTTTAAAATAGCCCTCAACTTTTCTGCTGGAGTTCCTTTTTCTCTTTGGTGTCACAGCAGAATTGTATATGATACCTTTAGATGTCAGACTTCTTTGTAAGCAGACAGAATGCATTGACACTCCAGTGTTTATTCGAATACTTATTTTGGGACCTTTGCCATAACTAGTTTAATATGTACTAGATGTGTTCCTCTGCCATCTGAATTTCAACAATTAATTCTTTAAAAAGAATTAATATAAAAGGTGTTGACTTTTTATTATACCAAATAAGGATAAATTTAAAATATTTTTTTAAAAATCTGTATTCTTTAGTTTTCCAGTTCATAAAAGGCAGGGTATTTAACAACAAAAGTTAGAAAGGATATGTTACAATAAGACTAGTCCTTTAGATGGAATAAGTTTGTCTCCAAGAAAAATTTCCTATTTTCCTAGTTTCCTGATTTCCTAACTCACTGTGCAACTTGCAACTGCATCATGGAATGCCAGTAGTGTGCTTTTTGACTTTGCAAATATGCTAATTGGAATGAAAATTCATGTAAAATGATATTAATCATTTGAAGTGTGCATTTAGTGGCATTTAGTACCTTCATAGTGTAAATGCACCCATCACCTCTGTCTAGTTTCATAACATTTTTATCACCCCCAAAGGAGACCCCATTTCTGTTAAGGACTCATTCGTCATTCTTCTTTCCCCTTAGCTTCTGGAATCACTAATTTGCTTTTAGACTCTCTTGGTTACCTGTTCTGGACATTTCATATAGATGGAATCATACAATACTTTTTTTGGTCTGACTGACTTCTTTCACTTAGTATACCACATTCATTGTGATTACACCTTATTCGAAACTTGGTTTCCAGTATACCACTAAACTCATTTTTCCTCTGCTTCTCTAGCTACTTCTTCCTTTGTTCAGCCCCAAAATGTTGGTTTTTTTCAGGGTTCATCCCTTGGCCTTCTTCTCATCCTACAGACTTATCCAAGGTGTTCTGATTTGCTGCTGTGACTTTATCATTATGCAGTGGATACGCCCTATCTTTATGTAAAGACTTACATGGTCCTCTATCAGGTGGACATCTCTACTTGGATATACCATAACCACCTCATATTCAAAATACCCAGCCCTGAATTTCAAGAGACCTTCCCTGACTCCTTATGTCTGGGCTGAATTCTTCTTCTTGAACTCCCAGATCATTCCTAGTGCTACTCTTGTCATTTTACTAAGTATAATGTTCTGATAGCCTGCTTGTTTATTTTTTTTTTTCATGAAACTATAAGCACCTTGAGGTCAGAGTTGTACAAGTTGTATCTTGTCCACTCTTTGTATCCTGAATGTTTAGAGCCTGGCATAGTAGAGACTTAGTAATTATTCCGTGAATATGTGAAGGTAGCACATTAATGATCATCCTATGTAACATGTGGCAAAGTAATTTCAATATATGGTGGTTTGTCTCTTTGAAAATATAGAGACTTGGGCCTCCCCAGTGGCGCAGCGGTTGAGCGCTGGGTTGTGAAGCTGCCCGCAGCCTCTGCAGCGCCAGTTCGATCCCCGGCTGCTCCCTGGCCACCTGAGGAGGGTCCCACATGGCGCGCAGACCTCTCCTGCCGCCCACTGCTCCCCTCAGCAGTGTACTTCTGTCCTTCTGTCTGCTCTGCTCCCCGCTCTGGCTCTGGTGAATTCTCTCACCCTCCCGTGCTTCTGACTGTACCCAGTGCTTGTATAAATAAATAAATAAATCTTAAAAAAAAAAAAAAGAAAGAAAGAAAAAAAGAAAATATAGAGACTTGCAACTTGGCAATATATTTTTTCACATTTCAGGAACATTTAGATAGTACCCATGGTTCAGTCCATTCCTTAGATGCAGACTTACTGTTGCCATCTGGAGACCCATTCAGTAAATCGGACAATGACATGTTCAAAGATGGACTCAGGAGAGCACAGTCTACAGACAGCTTGGGAACCTCAGGCTCACTGCAATCTAAAGCTTTAGGCTATAACTACAAAGCAAAATCTGCTGGAAACCTGGACGAATCAGATTTTGGACCATTGGTTGGAGCAGATTCGGTGTCTGAGAACTTTGATACTGCCTCCCTTGGGTCACTGCAAATGCCAAGTGGGTTTATGTTAACCAAAGATCAGGAAAGAGCAATCAAGGCGATGACACCAGAACAAGAAGAGACGGCGTCCCTCCTCTCCAGTGTTACACAGGGTATGGAAAGTGCTTACATGTCCCCAGTGGTTACCGCTTAGTCAGTGAGACAGAATGGAATCTCCTACAAAAAGAGGTGAGTTATCTTCCTTATTTTTTCCTCTTGCTTTGAGAATACTTGGTAGCTCTGGGATTCATTGTTCATTTACTAGCACCTGGAGTCAAGCATCCCTCCAAGTATATGTTAACCCATATTGTCTGACCATTGTCATAGTCTGCTTTGGCTGTTCCTAGTGACTGTGACAAAGGAGGGAACTAATTTCATTTAGTGTCAGCTTTTCCACTTGCAATCACACTTTTGAAGTTGTAGCAATCTTCCTGAAAAGCATAGCAAATTTATGAGTAGCTTGAATTTGGTTTGCTTTGCAGGTTTTTATAATCTCAATATATTCCCAAATTTATACTCTTTCATTTTTCCTTGAGATCTAAAGGGCAAATATTTGTTAGCAGTTGATGCTGAGAGTGAGTATAAGGAGGGAGTAGAAAATAAGGGAAGAGAATGGAAGACAATCTTCAATGAGGTTAAATTTCTTCCTAATACCATTTACAAACTCAGAAGATTAGGAGGTAAGAAATTAAATGAAATAAAGCACAGTGGGGCCTCCCCGGTGGCGCAGCGGTTGAGCGCTAGGTTGCGAAGCTGCCCGCGGCCTCTGCGGCGCTGGTTCGATCCCCGGCTGCTTCCCGGCCACCGGCGGAGGATCCCACATGGCACGCAGACCTCTCCTGCCGCCTGCTGCTCCCCTCAGCAGTGTACTTCGGTCCTTCTGCCTGCTCTGCTCCCTGCTCTGGCTCTGGTGAATTCTCTCACCCTCCCGCGCTTCTGACTGTACCCAGTGCATGTATAAACAAAACAAACAAACAAAATAAATAAATAAAAAAAAAAACATGCCTCTATAAAAAAAAAAATAAAAAGATTTAAAAAAAAAATAAATAAAGCACAGTGCTTTATAGAATACAAAATCCTTTTATATACCTGATCTCTTTGAGCTTCATGATATTAATGAGGCAATCAGGGCATGGTTGTCCCCCAATTGTAAGTGAAGAAAGTGTCTCTGAAAGGTAAAGTGAATCACTCAAGTTCTTCCTTTGATTTAATGGCAATATCAGGGTTAGAATCCAGGTTTTCTGACTTCTGGTGCTTTCCTTTACTCACAGCTACTTCTCTTTAAAGAAGCTGTTGATAAGTATGTGGAATAGCCTATTAAACTGAAAAGAAACTATTCTCTTTAGCCTTATGGAAAACATGTATGAGAAGGTGCTACTTAATAGTTTCATACTACTTTGTAATTGGAGCTGGTAAAATGGTGAATTGGCACTGCTTCCCTGTTTTCACTCCCCTTGGCTGAGTAGTATTGATTTAAATTGTGAGTGCCATGGTGTTATACCATTTGCTTGACTTGTTTTTCCTCAAATGTGGTGTTTTCAGTCCTTAGCTTCATGATGATAAAGTTGTGGCCTTCTATTTTACTACCACATTTGCAATGGAGCTTGTAAATCTTTTAAAATCTGATTCTATAGTTTAACTTCTTGCCATAAGCCTGAAGAAATTATTTACTCCATGTTCTACTTTAATAACATAGGTAAGTCTGTGCATGTGTTCCTCAAGTATGTGATGTAGAATTATTTTGTTATGGCTGATAAGAGGTAATTTTGGTGCCCTCCAGGTACATAATGCTGGAAATAAACTTGGTAGACGTTGTGATATGTGTTCCAATTATGAAAAACAGTTACAAGGTATTCAAATTCAGGAGGCTGAAACAAGAGATCAGGTGAGTTTCTTTTGGATATACTGGGTTGGTGAGCTGTTGTAATTTTATTGAAGGTATGGAATTAACTTCTTTTTTCCCTCTGTCATTTGCTTAATGAACTGTATCCATCTTGTTCAGTATGAAATAATCTGGTACATGAAATACCAGTTACATTTCCAGCAGGAGCACATAGCCTCTGTTGTGTATCTGTTTTATTAACTTGCCCAATACCACACAGGTCAGTTCAGTAGCCCTGGCATATCTGGCATATCTCTCTGCCCCTTCCACCCAAGACCTAAAAATGGTATTGTCATGAATATATATATGCATGTGAAAGTACATTATCATTTGTAAATTTTGGCAGATAAGAACTTGATTATTGCCTCTAACTGAATAAAAGCTTAATTGAACATTATATTAATCAGTATTTGGCCTCTGCATTGCTTATTGGCTACATCTTGTCATAAATTTGTTGAATTAATGTTAATTTATAGGGGCCATAGAAATTAAGATTTGGTATGCTGAAATGAACAAATCTTAAGTATCTTTCCAAATACATGCTTAATTCTTGGTTCCTTAATATCATTTGGGAAATAGGTAGAATTTCTTGAGTAGGCTTGCCAAAGTATGAGTAAGGAAAAGAAAATTAATTTATAGTTCCAAATTGTTCTTTGGTATGAAGATTGTTCCCATAGTCTTCAAAATAATATGAAGAAAATCAGAATGGTTGTTCAATATTTTCCAATGTCATTGGCATTGATTTCTTATATGTGCTTTTTTCATAGATGATTTAAAGATAAATTTCTAAAGTTACTTGTAAAACTAATACAGTTCTTACAGTGTGACATGGACATGGGCTATTGGATTCTAGTCATTTCAATAGACATTTTACTGATGCTTCGTTTGTGCTTAGAATTCTGCGGACTCTTGGGCATTCAAATACAGATAAAATACACTTTGAGTGTTGCCAGCTAAGCCATTAGTTAAATATACTTTGTTCCTGTAGATGTACACACAGAACTAGAGGAGGGATAGGGCAGCTAACTTAATAGTTGGCTCAGGGAAGGTAACACTTGAGCTGAGTTGTTTTCAAGCTGGAGTGAAAGTTAATTAAGAATAGAAGTGGGGAAAGGATGTTCAAGGAAAGGAAAGAAAAGAGTTCAGTGTTGTGGAGAAGTAGCTAGGCATATGGCATGTGTGTGGTAGGGGGTAAGAAGGGGGGGGGTATTGGGAGAGGAAGCTACTAAAGAAAGACCATGATGAGAGCATGAGGGAGGGTTGATAATTGTGAAGGGATTTAATTTTACCCTGAAGAGTTTGAGAGGCATTTAGAGATTTTAAGTAGGGAAATAATATGACTTGAATTTTGTTTCAGAAAAGAAAAAAATGTATTAGTGGGGATTGTGGACTGGAGTCAGAGGACAGACTGGAGTTAGGGAGGCCAGTGACCTAGCCTAGCGGATCTAAGAAGAAAAGCACATATTTTCAAATGAGATAATATATGTGAAAAATTGCCAAATACGGTGATTTCACCTGTTCTCCTTTTGAATTAACAAATATAAAATCGTTTTTAGGGGGAAAAAGATGAGATATTTTAGAACTATTACCCAAGTTAAGGATTTTTGTTTGATTTATGAAGGAATTTTGGTACTTTCTTCTAATTAACACTTAAAACTGCATAGGTGAAAAAACTGCAGGTGATGCTAAGGCAAGCAAATGACCAGTTAGAGAAGACAATGAAAGATAAACAGGAACTGGAAGACTTTATAAAGCAGAGCACTGAAGATTCAAGTCATCAGGTAAATGAAGGTTTTAAGACTGTGCCCTGGAAGATGACTGGGTTGTTTAAAATAAAAAACAACTGTGTTCTGAAAACACAGTATTCTTTGTTTCTTGCCCTGAAGAGATAGCATTTCTGTTTTTCTTCAGGTAAAAAGATATCTTACTGTTCTTTCTCTGGTATCTATTTTACAGGTTTTTAAAAAATCAACTTTTAAAATAACTGGTTATGAATATCGGGAGACTCAGATTTTCCTTTCCTTTTTGATTTTTATTAAGTTTTTCTACTGTACAGGCAACTTGATGACAAGAAAGATACTATTTTTAATTTTCTTTTTGACTCTTCAGAGTATAGCATCCATTAGGAAAAAAATCCATCTTACACAGATACACCAAACATACTAGAGCTAACATCTGTGAAGCCACCATCAAGGTCAAGTAATAGAGGGGCCTCCTTGGTGGCGCAAGGGGTTAAGTTGCAGCACTGTGAAGCTGTCCACAGCCACTGCAGCATAAGATCAATCCCCGGCCAGGGAACCGACCCACATGGCGCAGCAGACCTCTCCTGTTTTGCCCACTGCTCCCCTCAGCAGTGTGTTTCAGTGGAACTGCCTGTTCTGTTCCCCACTCTGTCTCTGGTGAATCCTCTTATCCCCCTGGCCTGCACCCCGGCTCTTGTATGCATAAATGAATAAATCTTTAAAAAGAAAAAAAATGATCAAGTAATAGAATATTAACTAATACCCCAGAAGTCCTCATTTCCCCCTCCACTTATTACCTCCTCCCTAGAGGTACCATTGTGCTAATTTCTAACACTGTCAGATTAATTGTGACTGTTTTGTGTTTCTTTCTTTTTTTTAAACAAACGAAGTATATAGAATGCATTCTTTGGTATATGTGTTGTCCATTCAACGTTGTGATATTCCTACTCACTATGCATGGAGCAGTAATTCGTTCATTTGTGGATATATTATAGTTTGTCCATCTTAATGTTGATGAGAGTTTGGGTTGTTTCCAGTTCTAGGATATTATGCATAATTCCTACTTTGAAATTTCTTTTTATGACTTCTTGCATAAGTTTCTGCTGGATATATGCCTTGGAATGGAATGCCTGGGTCAAAATGTTCATCAACTTTAGTAGATTATAAGGCCAAACAGTTTTCAGAGTGATTGTACACATTTATACTCCCACTAGGAGTGTATGAGAAGAATTCCTGTTGGTCTACAGTCTTCATAAACTTGATTTTGTTATTTTAATTACAGCCATTTTGGTGGGTGTGGAATGGTATTTCATTGTTTGCATTTCTCCGGTGTTTACTTAGCGTTTTTCATATTTATTGGCCTTTAGGGTATCATATTGTGTGTGTGTGAGAGCTTGAGTTCCCGCAGCTCTGAAGCAAGTCTTATGCTAATTTTTCTGTTAGGATGTCTGTTTAGGCTTTATTATTTTTTTTTTTATGTTATGTATTCTTTTATTTAAACTTATTGAGCCCTTTGGTGATATGTCTTGCATATGTCTTCTACTCAGTTCCTTACTTTTCATTATTTGAATAGTATCTTTTGAGGAACAGAAGTTTTTAATTTTATTGTAATCAAATTTATTATCTTTTCTCTATTAGTTATTTTTTTGCCCTGGTTTTTAAGATAGTATTTTCTCACCCTGCAGTTATGGAGTTATTTTCATGTGTTTTGTAGACGTTTCCTTGTTTTAGAGTCATGTTTATATTCTAAACTCCAGCTAGTGTATATATGCTGTATGTGTATATGCTGCAGGTCAGGGTAAATTTTTGTTTCACTTTTCCATATGGATAACAAGTTCTGGTACCAGTTAGTAAATTGGTCATTTTCCCCCACAGCTCTCAAAGTTATCTTTGTTCTCTGTCAGGTGAATATACATGTGTGGGTCAGTTTTAGGACTCTTTTTTTGTCTTTGCTTATTTTCTTCTGATGTTTTCTAGATCACTAATTTTTCCCTTCAGATGGGTATAATCTGTTTAATTCATCCATTCAAATATTAAGATAAATGGCCTTGTATGCATTGTATTTCTATTTGGTTATTTTTCATTGTTTCCAATTCTCTGGCAGTTCTAAATTTTGTCTTTTAAATACCAAACAGGCCAAGTATAGTTATTTTAAAGTCTGTCTCTAATAAGTCACATATCTGGATTCATTGTAGATCCGTTTCTACAATCTGTTTAGTTTTTTATAATGTCCATTTGTTTCCCTTTTTTTTTCCTTAAAATGTCAGGAAAATATCCTTTTCATGTGCAATTTTACTTGAGGGCTAGGCATTGAATGTGAAAAATTGTTGAAATGATATAAAACCGTTTTCTTTATGAGAAGCAGGCAACTAGTAGTACTAATGATTCTGGGTATTACTGTAATCCAGTTGCATGAATTGAGATTATCTGAAGGTTATTAGATTATTTAAATTCCTCTCTTACCCCTCAGTGTGGCCCTTTGGGGCCTCAGTCTAAAGTGCAGGGTGTTTTCTGAGCATCCTCAAATGCTTTGCTCAGCTTTTCAGTGTCACCTGTTTCTTTTGGAGTTGGCATTTACTTTTAGAGAAGAGCTGTTGTAGATGCTGCACTCAACTCTCCAGGTGTCCACATTCAGGTCCTTGGCTCTGTGATTCTTTCCGCCTTGTTCTCCAATGTCTTCAAATGGTTGTTTTCATATTTTAGTCTAGGTTTTCTATTTCTCAATAAAAGGTTGGTTTACATTAACTAATCTGCTATTACTGGAAGCAGAATTCTGATAATAATCATGTTTTAAATGTCAAAAAGTTATTTTATTTTATGATTATTCTATGAGTCATTAACTTTCACATAAACCCTTCAGGAACATTAAAGCCAAGTCACGGGAGTGTAGAGTTCAGTGGTGTCAACCTTGTGTTTATTGCTCTAAGTAAATCATCTTGGAGGATAGTAGGTAGTTGCAGAAATGATTCATTTGTTCTTTGAACTGTGTGAAATTTCACATTTCTTTTGATTTTTCTTTAGCTTCTTTAAGATTAATTTTTATAATGAGGTCACATGGATTGATATTTGTCTAGAGACACCATGCCGATTTCTCATCTGTAGCAGCATGTGACACTGGGGACTTTGGGTAGTGCCTTGTGTGATCTGAAAGGCAGAGCCACACATTATATGTTGAATGAATAGTGAGTGGGTTACAGTGGACAATAAACATCAATCCTGGATGTTAACTAGGAGAAAATTACCAGTTTCCTAACTGTATATTTTCTTTATGTACATTTTTTCTCTCCCTTAAGATCTCTACACTTGCCCTAAGAGCCCAAGCATCTGAGATCTTACTTGACGAGTTACAACAGAGCTTTTCCCAGGCAAAGAGGGACGTTCAGAAACAGATGGTAAGTTAACACTTAATTTAAAAAAAATTAATTATGTATTAATTTATATGTATGTGTTCTATCTTGAAATCATCTATTAATAGAACTTTTTTTTTTTTTTAAGATTTATTTATTATTTATACAAGCACTGGGTACAGTCAGAAGCGTGGGAGGGTGAGAGAATTCACCAGAGCCAGAGCTGGGAGCAGAGCAAGCAGAAGGACCGAAGTTCACTGCTGAGGGGAGCAGCGGGTGGCAGGAGAGGTCTACACGCCATGTGGGACCCTCCTCCGGTGGCCTGGGAGCAGCCTGGGATCGAACCGGCGCTGCAGAGGCTGCGGGCAGCTTCGCAACCCAGCGCTCAAACGCTACGCCACCGGGGAGGCCCTATTAATAGAACTTTTAACTCCCTGGTCAAAGTGTCTATGGTTTTCAGGTTATGGTTATGTTATTCAGGGCCTACATAACATTAGTAATGGATAAGATTATGTAAAGATATTCCTTTATTAAATCTACCTCCTGGGAGCCTCCCTGGTGGTACAGGGGTTAAAGTCAGTGCTGTCAAAGCTATCCCCAGCCACTGAGGAATGAGTTCGATCCCCAGCAGAGAGCTAATTCACATGGTGCCGCAGACCTCTCCTGTCTTGCCCTCTGCTCTCCTTAGCAGTATATTTCAGTAGATCTGCCTGTTCTGCTCCCCACTCTGTCTCTGGTGAATCTTCTCACCCCCTGCATCTCTGTCCTGTACCCCAGTTCATGTATGTATAAATAAATAAAAATCCTGCCTCGCCTGCTGCTCCCCTCAGCAGTGTCTTCGGTCTGTCTGCCTGTTCTGCTCCCCGCTCTGTCTCTGGTGAATTCTCTCACCCTCCCGTGCCTCTGACCTGCAACCCAGTTCTTGTATAAATAAATAAAAAATCTTTAAAAAAATAAATCTTTAAACTTACCTCTTGACCAACAAAATAGTGTCACCTCTAGTTTATTTTTCTGATTTGGGGAACCTAACCAGAATACACTATGGACTATGTAATTTAATTTTCAGCTCCAAATACAAGCTAAAAATGGAAATCTCAAAGCCTAGCCGGTGCAGCTTTTGGCAGTCATTGTGCTTTCCTTAGACTGCTAATTTATTTATTTAGAATAATCTCATTAATTTCGCAGGGGCTAAGAAAGCCCTAGCTGCTGTGGTGCAGGAAAACTTCCAGAAGGCCATGAGTTTTGATGGGAATGGAGCAGAGAGCTTCTTGAAGAGCTGTTTGGAATCTCTGCAAAATAGTACCCCAGCTTTGGGCCTCCCTTCTTATTCTGGCTCATTTTGCCTTATTCTTTTTCTCAGTGTTGGAGCCCTGCATCTGATAGCCCTTTGTAAATTATAGCAGAATTGGTCCTGCTGGGATGGACCTGCAGAGCTGCCTCTTGTCCATCTCCCCCAGGGTGACAGGAAACAAAAGCCTCAAGTCAGTTGGTAATGGTTTTTGATTGGCATTAGGTCAGTATCTGAATGGCATTTAAGCTGCTCCCTAAATTAGTCCTGTTTTGTTGGGAAGCATCTCATCCCTATCATCGACCAGAGAGTTTCATAATTTTCCATTAACTAGAGAACACAAGGTAATAGTCACTGACCTAAGAACACTGTTACATGCTGCCAGAGTTTCATAGTGCGTAACCTCCTTATACTCTATCTCATCTTTTTTTCTGCTCTTTTAAAACCTTTGCAAACAGTTGATTCCTTGTTAAATGAATGTGTTGCAGGTAACATTGAAGAATGTTTGAAATTAAGGTTGAGGTTCTGTTAATGCTACTGTATTACCTTTTTTTTCAAAATTTCCTTTAAAAGTTCTTATGCTGAGAGAGAGAAATTCAGTTTCTTATGCCCCTTCAGAGAAGAGTACCTGTGGTTGTGGTGGGGATCTTGATATCTTACTGTAACTTTTTATTTTGAAATATTTCCTATTTATGGGGAGGTTTATGGAATGAACACTCATAAAAATCTTTCCTTAAATTTACTAGTAGGGGCCTCCCTGGTGGCGCAGCAGTTGAGCGCTGGGTTGCAAAGCTCCTCGTGGCCTCTGTGGCGCTGGATCAATCCCCGGCTGCTCCCCGGCCACCGGAGGAGGGTCCCACATGGCGCGCAGACCTCTCCTGCCGCCCGCTGCTCCCCTCAGCAGTGTACTTCGGTCCTTCTGCCTGCTCTGCTCCCTGCTCTGGCTCTGGTGAATTCTCTCACCCTCCCGCGCTTCTGACTGTACCCAGTGCTTGTATAAACAAACAAACAAATAAACAAACAAAAGTAAAAAAAAAATTTACTAGTAAAATTTTGCTACATTTTTACATGCTTGCAATTACTCTTTTAGTCTCTTTCATATGTATGTATGTATGTATATATTATTATATGTATGTATGTTTTTCTTCTTAGCCATTTGGAACATTACGACACATCTGCCATCTTTGTGTTTCTTAAGGCAGAGAAATTATTCTATGTAACCAAAATTCTGTTATTATATTCTAAAAATCTAACCAAGTCCTTGATTATTTCTTGGCAATGGTTTATTTATTTAAAATGTTGGATCCAGGAATCAGTCAAGAGTCACATGTTGTATTTTGCTGTCTTGTCACGTTAGTTTCCTACAGTCACTTTTTTTGGGTGTGACTTTATGACTTTTTTTTAATTAATTTTTTATTTATTTATGTATGCAGGAACGGGGTGTAGGCCAGAAGTGCGGGGGTGAGAGGATTCCTAGAGACAGAGTGGGGAGCATAACAGGCAGATCCATTGAAACACACTGCTGAGGGGAGCAGTGGGTGAGATAGGATAGGTCTGCTGCGCCATAGGTGGCTTAGCTCCCTGGCTGGGGATTGAACTCAAATTCATTCTGCAGTGGCTGGGAATAGCTTAATAGCGCTAAGACTTAACCCCTGCACCACCAGGGAGGCCCTATGACTAACATTTTTGAAGAATCCACACCAGTTATCCTTATAGAATACATATGTCTGATTATTTCCATATGAGTAGATTCAGGTTAGACATTTTGGCAGGAATACTACATAGATGAAATGATTCAATGGGAAATTCATAACATCAAGAAGTATGTAATAATGGGCGTTTTGGTTGTTGTTACAGCTTGATCACTTAGCTAAATGTGGGGACAAAATAGTTTCAGAATGACCACACTAATATCGCTGTCAATAGTAAATCTACTAAGTAAAGCTCAACATTTCTTTATATTTCTTTCTGTTCTTAGAATGTATCCCAGGTAAAGATTTACAGTTAGGATACTGTGTTCAAAAGTCAGTTGAGCTGATTTTCACTTGTTATCAATATAGTTAGTACCATTTGTTTCTGTTTTCTTTTTAATTACTCTTTTTTTTTTTTTTTTATAGAGGCATGCTTTATTTATTTGTTTGCTGGTTTGTTTGTTTGTTTTGTTTATACATGCACTGGGTACAGTCAGAAGCGCGGGAGGGCGAGAGAATTCACCAGAGCCAGAGCGGGGAGCAGAGCAGGCAGAAGGACCGAAGCACACTGCTGAGGGGAGCAGCGGGCGGCAGGAGAGGTCTGCGCGCCATGTGGGACCCTCCTCTGGTGGCCGGGGAGCAGCCGGGGATCGAACCGGCGCCGCAGAGGCCGCGCGCAGCTTCGCAACCCAGCGCTCAACCGCTGCGCCACCGGGGAGGCCCTACTCTTTTTTTTTCTTGAACATACAAATGGAAAACTATTAAAATGTATCAGTATCCAAAAGTCTCACTTTCATTCCCTGTCCTTTTTCCCCTATTCCTACCCACCCCCTTTAATGATCATTTAATTTTTGTTTTTTCCTCTGTCTTTACAAAAATAAATCAGTATACAGTTCTTCTTTCCCTTTTATATCCCAAAAGTAGTAGGATACTAATATATGGTATAAGTGGATTGAAAGTGATAATAAAGCATAACTGATTCTGGTCTGAAGATAATGAGAACCAACAGAACTGATCACAAGTTAGGCATTACCTTGACTTCCAGACAGCAGCCTGCTTAAGAAGCAGTTATTACTTCTGGAAAATGTTCTTGAGTCCTTTCCCCTAATTTGATACCCTTTTGTCCTTTTATCATGGCCGTACCATTCTCTGTCATGACACTTGGGAAATTTTTGGCTTACTTATCTTTCCCTCTGCTGCGCCTTCAACTTCTCCAGAGAAAATTATCTGCCTTTTATCTCTGTTCCCAGTGAACAGCAACATGTGAAATAGATTAGGGCCTCTCTGGTGGCTTAGGGAGGTTAAGCCTCAGCACTATCATGTTTTCACTGCTGCAGCCTGAGTTCCATCCCCGGCCAGGGAGCTAGCCCACCTGTGGCCCAGCAGACCTCTTCTCTCTTGCTGGTTGCTCCCCTCAGCAGTGTATTTCAGTGGATCTGCCCTGTTCTGCTCCCCACTCTGTTTCTGGTGAATCCTCTTCCCCCTCCGCCCCATACCTCTAGCCTACTCCCCAGCTCTTCTATGCATAAATAAGTAAATGAATCTTTTTAAAAAAAAAAACTAAATAGATTAGTACCTGCTAAATAAATGTTGAGTGAATAATGTACAGTTTATACATAATGATTTAAAATTATTTAAAATCAGCAGATATTAAATACTTCTGCAGAATTTTATCTTAAATTAACTGGAATAACTTTATATTGATATAAATTCATAAAAAATACCCAAAATTATTTTATACGTGAATAGAATGCTCCATTTTAAGAATGAGTTACTTAAGTGTCCTATATTTCTTAATGACCTCCAATATTTGTGTTCCCTGGGCCATTCACAGTGATCCTGCACTTGAACAAATGTATGCAATGAAAGATGAAGATGCTGCTTTTTGCTTCTCTCTGCTTCTGTTGAATGCATGCCATGAGGAAATAGGAATTGTTTTGGAGTACATGCTCTATTTGATACAGGTCTTGACTATGTCAGCCCTTTCCAATGAGCTAGAGATAGTGTTCCTTCTGTAGTCCAGGGATGTGGGGGAAGACAGTCATTTTAAGCTTTTGGTAGAAACAGTGGAGATTTAGTTCAGATACTTGCTTTGTTGCCTGTCCCCTTTAATATATGTAATGGCTATAAATCAAATAATCTTTAAACTGGTTTTCATGTCATATATAGAACTTTATTATGTACCTCTCTTCTCATCCCTCATTTGGTTTGGCTTTCGTTTTTTCCTGTTGCAGCTACCAGCTGATAGGATTTACCTTTCTGGCTGTGATTAGTATCTGTTTCTATTCTAGGCAGTGCTGATGCAGTCACGGGAACAGGTTTCAGAAGAGCTGGTGAGGTTACAAAAAGATAATGACAGTCTTCAGGGAAAGCATAGCTTGCATGTTTCCTTACAGCAAGCAGAAGACTTCATTCTCCCGGAAACAATAGAGGTGACTTGTTTTCCACATGATCAAAAATATAAACAAGTACATTTTCTGAAATGGCTCTAATTTTTTTAAAGACTTAATTTAGATATAATTCAGATACCCAATGATTCACCCATTTAAAGTGCACAATTCAATGGTTTTTAGTATATTCTCAGATGTATAACCATCACAATCAATTTCAGAATATCTTCATCTCTTCAAAAAGAAACCGTTTCTTCATCGTTGATTCCTTCTCCCAACCTTAATGAACCACTAGTCTACTTTCTGTTTATAGATTGGCCTATTCTGGGCTTTCACATGAATGAAATCAGACATTTTATCATCTTGTGTGTCTGGCTTCTTTCATGTAGCATACTGTTTAAGAATTATCTATGTAGTAGCATGTCCATTTCTTTACTTTTTTATGACCAGATAACACTGTGCTGCGTGTGTGTGTGGGGTGTGTGTGTTTGTGTGTGTGTGTGAATTTATTTGTCTGTTAATGGACACTTAAATTGAATTTACTTTTGGGCTATTATGAATAATGCTAACATGTACATGCTAATCATTCATGTACAGGTTTTGATGTGGACATGTTTTCATTTTTCTTGGGTATAAACCTAGGATTGGAATTGCTGGGTCATAAATCATCTGAGGGCGGCACTCCATCTGCCCGCCTGTGACTATGCTGGTGCTTCTTTTCACCAACTCTCTCCTGCAGGGCAGCAGCTTCCTGCCTTCCCGTGAACTGTACCATGCCAGGACTTCTCTTCACTGACCTCCCTCAGCGGAGGCTGCTCTCCTCAAGGCCACCCCAGCCTGCAGCCATGCAAGCCTCTCTTAGCAAACCTGTTCCTTTCAGGGCAGCTCTTCCTGCCTGCTTGTGTCTATGCAAGTTTCCTTTATTCTTCTGTCCCTTTCCCTAATAAACCTGTTCTTTAAATATATTTAAAAAAAAAATTAGATCATCTGAGGATTTCTCTACATTCTCACCAATATTTGTTCTCTCACTTTTGATTATAAACTTCCTAATGGGTATCTCATTGTGATTTTTATTTGTATTTCCCTGATGACCAATGATATTGAGCATCTTTCATGTGTTTATTGGCCATTTGTATATTTTCCTTAGAGACATGTCTCTTCAGATCCTTCACTCATTTTTAAACTGGGTTGCTTATTATTACAAGAGTTCTTTATGTTTTCTCAATATAAATCATTCTCTTAGCATATAAATGATTTGCATTGTTTTCTTTCACTCTGGATTGTCTTTTTCACTTTCTTGATGTCCTTTGAAGCACAAAGGTTTTTAATTGTGATAAAATCCAGTTTTGTTTTTTTTTTCTGTTAATATTTTCTGTGTCATAGCTAAGAATCTCTGCCAAATCAAAGATCTGTACATTATTCTGGCAGGTCCAGATGGAGAATGCATCAGAAGTTAGGTCACCAAGCAGGCTTCTTGTAATGTCTTTCTGTCTAGTACTTAAAAGGGTTTACCACCCTGTTTTCCTTTTGTCTTCTAATAACTTTTATGACACTTTTAATACTTCCATTCTTTTTTATAAATTATTTTAAAATCAAACATTATAGAAACTTACAGTTTTGTAAGTAACAGTTTTCCCCTATTCTACTCTGCAAACTAAACCTCTATAGTTTGGACCTTATTCTTTCTCCCTGTATGTATGTGAACAATGCTGTGATATTTTTGTTGTTATTTTGTTTTTATTTTGCTCATTTACCAGGGCTCCACATCCTACTTTGCCATTAGTTCCTTGTTCTCTCTTAACCCACTTCCGTCCCCAACTTGTGATATCAGCTCAGGTTTCTGCACCTTGGGAGAGGGAGCTCTCCATTTGAAACTGGTGACTGATCTCATCAAAGAGAACGTTTTGGGAATCTGTCTACTTTTACTATCAGCATGCTACTTTCAACTGACCGTTATTAAACTTTTCTCTTTTGGTATTAAAGAGTCCTTTCTTCCATTTTTTCTAGAGAATTTCAATTCCTAAAAAGTCCCAAGAATCTTTGAAGGATGTAATTAGTATATAAACTTTAATTCTTAGACTTGACTCAGTAATACATTTTATGAAATTTTTCTTGTGTTACAGTTTATACTCTTATTTTTTACTCTTCTTTAACTTATACTTTTGGTAGTTATCAGGAATTCTAGTTTTTACTTTAGGGTTTCTTTAGGATATAGTTGGGAGGATTTTGAAAAGAACGACAACAAAAGTTAAGGGAAAAATAAGAAGTAAACTGAATTATAGGAAAACAAGTGATTATCGTAGAAAGGCATTCTTTGTTATATTTGCCTCTGGCTTAACATAGTTTCACAAGAGTTTCACACTTGGCTTCTAAGTTTCAGACTTTTTGGCCCTCATTCCCTAACTCCCCTCAAACTTAAGCAAATAATAGAAGTTCCCATGCTATTTATAGTAAATGCCACATTGTAAGCCATCTAACATTTTTACTTTTCTGCTTCTGAAGCAGTTTTGAAAGGAAAATATAGTTCACAATACACATTGACTGAAAATATACTGACTGTTGACATAGCACGTGCCCCTTGAAGCCCCTAAGTGGGTTGGAGTTCAAAGTCTTAAATTCTGAACCATTTAAAACAACGTCTGAACTTCTGATTGCAGAAAATCTTCAGCTTCATTTCATTTCTTTGTTTTCTTTCACTCTCACAAACCCAATAACTATTTGTTTTTTTAATCCAGGCACTTCGGGAGTTGGTATTAAAATACCGCGAGAACATCATTCATGTGCGGACAGCAGCAGACCACATGGAAGAAAAGCTGAAGGCTGAAATACTTTTCTAAAAGAGCAAATTCAGGCAGAACAGTGTTTAAAAGAAAACCTTGAAGAAACTCTGCAGCTGGAAATAGAAAACTGCAAGGAAGAAATAGGTGAAGATAAAAGTGATATAGTTTAGAATTGGAGGCACAAAAGAAAATTTCTAATTACAAGAATTAATATATGGTCATGCAGTGTGGAAAATGAAAGTAGAGGAAAGAATCAAGCACTTAATCCATTTTTCTAGGTGTTCTGATACATCTAATAATGGGGAGTAAAAACTAAGAAACAGGACAAATGAGCTACTCTTTGGCAGTTAGTAGTAGCTAGGAAAGCTTGAAGCCAGACCACTGGGGAACATTATTAGATGGGGGGCATTTCCTTGCAATACTTCAGTGTGTCGACACACTCCTGCTGGGGCTATCTCATTCCCCCAACCCCCACCCCAGAGTTGTGTGGATAGTTTATGATAACTGTATGCCTCTGCCCGAGCTTGATTGGTTGGGGAAAAATTTTTTTAAAGATTTATTTATTCATACAAGAGCTGGGGTGCAGGCCAGAGGTGCGGGTATTGAGAGGATTCACCAGAGACAGAGTGGGGAGCAGAACAGGTGGATCTACTGAAATACACTGCTGAGGGGAGCAGCGGGTGAGACAGTAGAGACCAGGTCTGCTGCACCATGTGGATTGCTCCCTGCTGGGGATCAAACTCATGCCACAGTGGCTGGCATAGCTTGATAGCGCTGAGACTTTAACCCTTGTGCCAGCAGGGAGACCCTAGTTGGGGAAATTTTTGACAAAGGAGTGTTGCATTCTTCCCATGCTCTCAGTATGTTGACTCCTTCCATTGTATGAGATTGAGCTTGTAGTAGAAAGGGATATTTTAAGACAAAAATTTAAATGCCAAATCATAAATGCTAACCTTGCCTTTCCTTTTTTTTTTTTCCCCCCCCCCTTCTAGCCTCCATTTCTAGCCTAAAAGCTGAATTAGAAAGAATAAAGGTAGAAAAAGGACTGGTGAGTTTCATGAGTTTCAGATTAATTCTGTCAGCGATCACTAGTTATTTATTGAATCCTGCTGTGCTAAGCTCAACAAATAAAAGATAGACATAGTCCCTTTACAAAACTTGTCTCATGGGGAAAATATGATAGGATTAAGATGTGAGGACAGTGGAGACTGTTCTTTGAGTCCTGTGTCAGGGCATGTGTTAGCTGGAAGTGGTCCAGGGAGGACCAAGATGTGACTGCACCCCGCAGTCTCCACTATAGTCAGATGGTCATGACACAGTCTGTACTTAAAGCTACACTAGAAATATATATAAAATCTTTTTCAAACAAGAAGTGGTGTTTTCTAGCTGACTTAGAGTCTTCTCTTAGATAACACTAAGACCTTGTTAAATGGCCCCAGTCTGTTCCCTGGCCTCTTTGTTTATACATCAGTGACTTTTGCCTTCTCTTTGCCCTTCTTTCCCACATGTTGAGCTGTGCCTTGCCCCACCACTGACATTTCATTCACATCCCTCACCCCAATCTACTGTCCCTCCAGCTCTATATTCATGGACCCATCTGAGTACCCTCAATTCAGAGATCTTCAATTCTCTGAACTTTTCCTTTAATCTTAGCTTTAGCAACTTCTTTATTTCTTTGCTTTCTGTCTGTCTAGGCTGCATCCTGTAAAAAGATGAAAAAATCTTGCATCTTCAGCTAGATTCCCACTGAAACCCACAAGTCCCCTGATGCCTTGTTCTCCTGCTGCCCTGTTCTAACAACCCATTGCAGTCTGTCTTCTGCCACCACTGTAATGGCAAGGTTGCATTGGCAGAAACTACCAGAAACCTAAACGTGTCCAACTCTTGCCACTGCCACTGTGGTTGCAGACTTCAGTCCTCACCAGACTTATTTTAACAATCTAACTCTAACTTTCTTTCTGCTCCCACATTTTATCTCCTTCCAATTTATCTTCACACTGAAACCAAGGTGAGCTTTAAAAATTACAAATGACTGTGTTCCAGTCTGATTAAAACTCCTTTAGTGATTCTATTTCCAGGATCAAGTCCATACTTCTTAGCCTGGCCAGGAATTCCTGCCTCACCGCTGCCTTTATGGTCTCAGCCTCCAAGCCCCAGCGCTCTGGGCTGTAGTGTAGGCAAGAATCACCACATTTCCTAAACATATTTTTATACATGTTATCCACTTCATCTTTTTTGGAGTATCTCACTTTACTTTCTCTCCCTTACCATCCTTTCCCTTCCATTAGATTTTTTCATCTTTTACAGGTCAGGTATCTCTTTAGGGAAGTTCTTCCAACTTTTCAGTAGAATTAAGTATTTCTTCCTTCATGTCCATGTGCCGTAATGATTATTAGTTTTAATAGATAAATTTTTTTAAAAGATTTATTTATGCATACAAGAGCTGTGGGTACAGGCCAGAGGTGTGGGGGGTGAGAGGATTCACCCGAGACAGAGTGGGGAACAGAACAGGCAGGCTGACTGAAATACACTGCTGAGAGCAGCGAGCAAGTCAGGAGAGGTCTGCTGCGCCTGTGGGTTGCTCCCAGGCCGGGATCGAACTCCTGCTGCAGAGGCTGTGGCTAGCTTCATAGTGCTATGCTTAACCCCTTGCGCCACAAGGGAGGTGGCATAATTATTTACATGTCTGTCTCTCCTTGCCAAGGCCTTAGAACATAATAGATGCCTAATGTTTAATGAAAGATAGAAAAGGTCCTGAAAATAAACTGAAGCTCCACAGAGATCAAAGGGTGAGAAGAGTGAACGTAAGCATGGCCAGCGTCTGAGGTCTAGGAGTCCCTGAGGGTTGGGGGGTGCACATCTCCAGGCCACAGGATCCTCAGGCATTTCTATGAGTTTAGTTTTTCCTTCTTAATTTCACAGTTGGAGTCCACATTAAGAGAGAAGTTCTCAACAGCTTGACAGTCTTCAAGATATAAAATCACTTTGGAGGAACAGTTAAAGAAAGAGACTGCTGCTAAGGTGATATTTTTGTTGGTAATTTATTTTTTAAAGATTTATTTGTTTATGCATATAGAGGTGCAGGGGGTGAGAGGATTCACACAGAGACAGAGTTGGGGAGCAAACAGGCGGATCTACTGAAATAACACTGCTGAGGGGACAGTGGGCGAGACAGGAAAGGTCTGCTGTGCCATGAGGGTCACCTCCCTGGCCGGAGATTGAACTTGT